TCCCGTCTCTAGCCAAGAGTTTTACTTTCACTTAAGGCAGAACCACAATCCTTATTCCAGCTAGTAAGAGCTTGCTGCCTTCTATAATACTCGGTGACAAAAGCTTCAGCCATGTTGGGATACTTTTCTCTGAGGAAGTTCTCCACCCATTTATGGTAGGGAAAAAGCAACAATCAATGAAGTGTGTAATGCATTTGTTGGATCACCATTTTTTGCTAACAATTCACATGAAAAATCCAATTATACGTCAAATAACATTCAAAATAAACAAAGCACAAAATATAATCGACAGATGCACTATTTTGAACAAATTAGATATAACTGGGGAACAAAAGTTTCTTACCTATTACTTCTTAAGTTATTACAACATAATCTCCACCAATAACATTTTGTTGTGTTCAGCAAAATATTAACCTTAAAAAAAAAAAAAAAAAGGGATATGAAATCAGAAGAAAGGAGATGGAATCATCAATCCAATTTTATTGAGAAGCAAAAAATAAAAATAAAAATAAATAAATAAATAAATAAAAGAAGAAGAAGATGTTTTTCAGGTCCTGCTTTCATGGCCATGTTTTCCATGTCAACACAGTGACTACCACGGGGATCCCGAGCATCAAGCACCTCCAAAATGACAGTAGAAGCTTCAATGATTTTGATCAACTCCTTATAAGAAGCTCTCTCTGAGTGGTCTATATTAAATGTGGGAATGTTAGAAAATGAAGAGAGCAGAAAAAATCCAAGTGGGTTGGGGAATTCCCTGTACCGAGATATAAATTTGCTATCATACCCTGTTTCTTAGCAAACTCGATGGATTTCTCACGATTCTCTCCTTTCCAACAGAACTCTCGTCTTTCAATTCATCCTCCTCCAATAGTCCCAACCTTTTCTTTTGAGCTTAAAAAAGCAGATGAAGACAGGGGCTATGACAAACTCAAATGAATGCCATCAAGAAAGACACACGTATAAAATTTCAATGATCTCACCTTAGATTGCAAAGTACTGTTAATTACATCACTTATAAGCTCCCAATTGGAACCCAAATCAGGCACCAAAACAAGAAATTCCTAAAAGGTCAATATCAACATTGATGCGATCGTATCTCTAGAAGTCGAAAGTAAAAAACCATATCTCAATTCTCAAGTTTCAGCAGATGTATGTGCACGTGCATATCTGCGCTGAATATGTACATTTGTAAACCAACCTGGTCCTCAAATACCATGTAGACAAATGAGATTATGAGACAGGAATTTCTATCTGAATTGATGACTCTTTACGTTTCGCTTTCTGTATTTATGCACATCTGGGTGAAGGGAAAAGGAAAAAAAAAAGGGAAAACAATCTCCTAAATTAGGAGAGAACTAATCAGCCTACCTAACTATGAAAGTGTTTAAATATGATAAATCAATTATCCTTAAATCAATCATTAATATCGTACACTCGTTCGGATTGCTAAACTTGCTTCATCTTGTAATAATCTATTAGGACATTAAAAAGTCTTGAGAATTTACCTTCACAACAACTTCAATACCAGCTTTACGAAACTTCAATAATTCTAGAGCGTTGATGCATTACACTATACATGAAGTAATTGGAAGCAAAACAAAGATAATAAACCATTGCCCCTCATGGGTTGGTCGAGTTGGTGGAGCATGTGAGCACGGAGGCCTTTGATCACGAGTTTAATTTCCCAACACTTTCTCGATCGAGTGTGTTGTACAAGGCTTGTCTAGTGCGGTTTACTTGACTAACGTGGTTTGTAGGCGATTGCGTCAACTCGAAGATTTACTCAGTACGCATCCGAAGGGTAGCGACTGCTGATTCTCCCGTCTTAAAAAAAAAAAATAATAATAATAAACCATTGGAATTCAATACGTTATTTATCGGATGCCTTGATGTTTTAAAATACACATACGGTTTGGCGATCTCAGTAATATCAAATCGAGGATCGAGTCCCTTTCCAATGCCATCGAAAACGGTCAAGATAAACTGGGTTAAATAATAGTAGCAGCTAAATATGGCAGTTAAGTAGCTGAAGTACGGTACTTGAAAATGCCCTTACAACAAAAGTGAAAGTAGCAGGAAAGCGAGGGGTTGATATGTTGTAGTGGCTAATAAATTTTCACTTGTTAAAAGGATCAACATCAATAAGCAGAAATTCCTTTTTTATTTTTATTTTTCTTCTTTTTATTTTTTGTTTTTTGGGGAAGCAAAGACAGTTTAAAAAATTGGTTTTCATCCAATGTCAGGGAGAGATGAAAGGGACTAACAGGATGACTAAATGAAATGGGAAAAAGGAATATCAACTAATTAAAGATCAAAAACTCGAACACAGACACTAAATACTCAATCAAAAAGAGTTTAAATGCAAAAGTCAACCAATAGATTGACAGAAACAAACTAATCTGTTAGAAAATCGAATATTATAACGTTAATGCTGCATAAAATATTCAATTTCCGCTGCAGCTGAGAAAAAAGTACCAGAAGACATAAAAGCATAATTCATAGAAGAAATCTGAATCCTA